CTACTATTACCACTACTAATGCTACTACTATTACCTTGTAACTCCGATACTCCAAAAAACTACACTGACTCTCACTCCTCGACAAACACTTCCGAATGAGCTCGTTCTCAATCGCCTGTCGCTCCCTAAACAGACACCATTAAAGACAGCAGTAAGGTGCCCATAATCGCCGTTACTTTATCGTTAGAAAGTCCGCGTATTTGGCGAGTCGCGTCTGGCCCTGTTTGTTGACCATTAAAATGAATTTGATCATTTTTAAAAGCAGCAACTATCGACCTTATGGTCATTTCAAATTCGTGAAAAGTGGAAAACATTTCTTGCTACGCTCCGTCAGCACAAAATAAATTTCGCTCGCCCTCAATCATGACGACCATCACCCAAGCGTCCACATCTTCCGACTTCCGTTTCTTTGCACTGCTACTCGACCGATCGCTATCGGAGTCTCCTTATCCACTTCGAACTGATTAAACTTCCGCCCCCAGCTCTCCGACAAGCCCCTTCAATGACTCTCAGCCGTCCTCTATACCTCCTCATCATCATCGCAACATCCTCATTGCTGATCGCCACTCTACAAGGCTGTGGGTCTCACGATGACTCTTGCGAGATCCTCCTTTCCAACGACCGAGGCATCCGCTTCAAACGGAGCGATGGTGCGGCACCATCTGAGGGCACCATTGGTGCCCTCAGATTCTTCGAGTATCGTTGCAGTGCCAGCAGTGAGTGGAAACGGTAGGGCTTCTTGACGGTGATATGTCCCATTCATTCCCCTCAGATTCACAGGCCATGACGTCCCCGATTACGGGCAGAAATGCTCTGCTTTAGAGGAGAAGAAAACGATTCTCGACATCACAGTCACCGGTCTGTGCAGCGTCCCAGCAATCCCATCCAACCTCCGCATGGGTATCGCCACACCTCCAAGGCAGAGACACGACCGAATGAAATTACGGGCCGAATAATATCGCCCTCGATCGGAGATTTTTTACCCCATGTATAAACGCTCATTCATGTCGCCAGTTGGCCCTTTGATAATATAGTCTCGCGTTTCCTCATGTATTAATTACCCCCTCCAAAACCGTGCATACTACAGATATATAACGCGAAGCAATCCATTAATAGGGGAGCTAAAGCACATAGCAGCAGTCGTCTCGTTTTGAGAAGTCGGCCTTCTCCAAGCTCATACCTTCATCCTTGTTAGAACTAGCGATGTTGTAGCCCCGCAATGGAAGCTTACCACCTCATTGTTCGATGCAGATGATATTATAACTGTTAATATTATTATATAAACTTCCGAGTGCCAGAAATACCAGAATAAATGTTGTTATAATACCACATCACCGTTGAATTCGAGATACAGAACTTCCTTACGAGGCTTGGATTCAATTTCAGAGGAGTAGCAACACCATGCAGACAACGGTAATAGTCGTGGTCCTCTAGCCACCCTTGCATACCCGACTTCAAGCCCTGAGCGATGGTGACTGTGATGCAGTAGAACAACAGTGCGGATACACACAACACTGTACAGGTTACTCCATGATGCCTGGAGAAAACCCAACTGGCCCGTAGACTGTATTGCAGTCTATACACATGTTTCAGTCAAAATATGTAAATTCTGCGGAAATTTTTGGACTTTTTCATTGGTTCTTGTCTATCTCAACCCGAATCCGTCTGTAAACTTGAATAATCAGTGAGGAAACTCTCCTGAGGAAAGCGAACAGATATTCTTCCAACAGTACTGTGCTGCCTCGACATCGTCATCCTTCTTGCACTCCATCGATAACTCAACGCAACACTAGGTGGTACTCTCCACGACTACACATAACAGGAATGAACATTACAATATATAAAGGGCGCTAGTAGACGCTTGCCGAATCTATTAACCTCCAGCGATGCACCCAGGCGGAGGATATGCATGAATCTGAACACGGCCGACGGTCGCGCCCCCACAAAGGGGGGGGGACAAACTTACTACAGGATTTTCGCTGTGAATATACAAGAGGCGAAAGTCAGCGCATGACGCCTTGTAAATTGCTGTGCATAGCTCGTAAGAATTTTCCGAATTTTCGCACTGCCGGGTTGGAGTTTCTTTCAAATGCTGCTGCGGCCTGGCGGATCCTCAACACGCCGTTGACGCCCATCTCCTGCTCGGCCAAGTCCACCACCTCTCGAGCTGCACTAGGGGACAGCGATGCATCGGAGTGGAATGAGGCTGAACCCTAGCAGGGACCAAGTTACGACTGCAACCACCAACTACTCGATTGACTTACCCCACCCTGAGCCTCACAATACTGTCGTCTCGAGGAGCTCTCGTCCAAGCACTGCAGACATGCAGTTCCTCGACAGTCCTCAACATTGACGTTAGGGAGGCCCAAGGGGGCGCGGTAATCAAAATACTGCGCACACTGGAATTTGTCGCTGCGGCAGCCTGTATGGCCGTATTTGCATACGAAGTACTTCTTATCATCGCTGATACCACAACCCACGACATTAATGCCCTTCCATATCATCGCCGTGAAGTGACCCAGACCGTCCAGGGGCTCCCCGCCTCGTTTCCAACCCTCCACGCCATTACGACACTTCCACAACTGTTCGTACTCCATATACCAACTAATGACAGGACAATGCTGATTATAAGTGCCGCTGCGGTGATTGCAGAAATCAGGAGCACGGCCATAGCCGAAGGCTAGGTTCTCCCCATGGGGTGGCGTCAGGTCGTAGCTTCGCGAGTGCACCAGAGTATTCTTCCGAGCTAACACGTTTGCATAGTCTTTGGACCTGACGGTAAGTCGGCTGTATTTTATCATCATTTCTATCCTTACATTGAAGCCAACTTGTCGTCCCAGGCTAGAGGAGGGGCATGATGGAGACAACGAAAGTAGTTGTGGTCCTGCAGCCAGCCCTCCTTACCCTCCACAGCTTGCAGTTCATATCCACGCACGAGTACGTTAAGGAGAGCGATGATGACCACTGTAGTGATGATGACGAAGGGGACATTTTACACAACAGGCCTGCTTGGAAGACATACCAATGACCTGTCACGGGCGTGGCGGTAGGCTACGCCCCAGCTGCTAGAGTGCCTTCTACCCTTGGTAGAATCAGTCAACGCTGCACCGAGGGTCCACAGACAATCCACAAGGGGGGGGCCTCAACACAGGGAACATGAACATGTCTTATAACACTACATACGAATAGCATCAGCGAGCTCCACGAGGAGCTCCCCGACACCAACAACGGCTCCAGACTGCCGCTTCCTCCCAAGCAGTCTTCAAATGCTTGCCGGCTCTATCGAGTCGAATACGACACAGTTGAGGAGTTGTGGCGAATATTTCCTCCGTAATTCTGGTCAGGTAGGTCTGGTCCATCTGCATGTGTCGGTCGGCGAATGACTGTACTATACTAAGGAAGGCGGCAAGCTGCCTCGCAAAACGCAGCTTGTTCTTTCGGAAGGCCTCGATGGCTTTCGATAGATCCACTGAGGAACTCTCACCCAGCGACCTTGCCACTACCCCTGCGACATCGATTCGGCTGGTCGGCTCTAGGGCCGGCGATGTCCGACTAGAGACTCTTCTTACCGACTGGGGACGAGCCCTAGTAGTGGCCCTGGTAGTAGTAGTTGTCCTAGTAGTGGTCCTAGTAGTGGTAGTAGTGGTTGAGAATATCCTCGTTGTAGTACTCATTTGACGAGATGGCTTCTTATCAAGTCGAGGAGTGTATTGAGGATCCGGTACATGTCTGCTAGGCCGACCCTGCTTACCCTTAGTGTAGGTCTCTCGCCAACCACCATCCCTCACATCCCACTCCGACGGCTCGCTGCTGGCGATTCTCGGTGGCCGCAATGTTCGATAGGTCTTTCGCGGATCTCTACCGGGGAGCTCATGCGGTGGGTCGTTCTGATGGAAACAACCTGTCGTGACTACAAAAGCAATTGCATGCAGTTCTTACATGAAGATGAGCCTCTCGGCAGAATGCCTCTCTCGCCCTCCGCTCCGACTCTGACGCAGCCAGACACGCTACACAATCGTCCCCTTTGCACTGCGGAATGTTAAAGTTCGGCAACCCCATGGGCTGCTGGGCCCTCGATTCGATCATGCACATGTCCTTGGTAGAGTCGCACTTGCTGTTGCCATAGTGACAAACAAAGTGGTGGCCCGAAGAGGAGATAGCGCATCCCATGGTGTTGGTGCCCTTCCATATCATAGCCGTCCAGTGGCCCAGACGGTGAATGGTCTTCCAGTCCTGGTGAGGATTGCATCCCCAGTACTGGGCATACTCCCTGTACCATGCTCCCACTGCACAGTGCTGGTTGAACATGTTGCTCCTCTTATTACACCAGGACGGTGCAGTAGCTGTACCGTTGGCGAGGTTCTCCCCAGAAGGGGGGATCTGGTCGTAGCTGGGCGAGTGGCTGAGCATGTTGACTTCCTGTATGTGTTGGGCGACGATACGCGCTCTGAGAAGGGTTGAAGGGGAACATACTGTAGGGATAGGCAGGGGTCTTACTTGTGGGCAAGTTTATCATCCCATATAAGAGGCTTCGCATAGTGAAGGCAGCGAAAGTAGTTGTGGTCTTGTACCCAGCCTTCGTTGCCTTCAACTGACTGATACTCCCAAGCTGCAGACAATGGAAGGTAGAGGCACAGGGCTAGATAGCCTCCTCGTAGACCATACATTGAGAAAGGACGTAAGGGGCCTGTAGCAGCAGTGCTATGTAATACTAGTATTGACAACACAGTAACAGCAGCAGTAGTAGGAACGGCACTGTACAGTCTACAATAGGTATGGCTCGGAAAGGTCGAACATCATACAGGAGAAAGGTCCGATGGAGAACATGTAAGGGGTGAGGATGGAAAGCAGGTCGATAGCAAAGCTCTTGCTGCAAGGAGTCGATGATCACAGAGATGGGCGATCTAGTCGGGTCATGGGAAACAACAGTGCTAGTCGTTCGACTGTGTATGCGGATGGCTTTCCTCTGTACCCTCGGAGCTGTCGGTTCACCCCCACTGTAGTGTAGAAACGGTCAGTCGATGCCGTTCAGGCAGTGGTCAAGGTTGCCGTACTCTATGTAGCATTGAAGCCGTGCAACGTTAAGTGTAGTCTTACTCCACTACAGGGCATTGAAGCTGCCGTCGATAGGAGTTGAGCTCGGTATGGTATGAAGGGCCGGAGTACCGTGCAGGCTCTAAAGGAGTAGTTGTGGTCCTCTAGTCAGCCCTGTACATCGGTGTATCGGATGATGGTAGAGGCAGAGTAAATGTGTTCAGTCCATGGGGAGGCCAACTCGGCAATTGTTTCAGTGCTCGACTTCAAGCAATGCCATGGAGGAACCTACGAGAAAAATGCGCCGATTGAAATTGTGCAAAATTTGTCCGGCTACGGAATAAATTACTCACTTTATAATCGTCGGTAGCACACCTCTTGGGACCTGTCCCAGCTTTCGTTAAATGCTGAAAATAGGGCCGGCGTCCTCTCTGATCTCCTTGAGAGACTTTCTTTTGTACTTTCGATAGCTGCAGTTCCTCCGTCCCTTCTGAATGGATAGTAAATCTACCATTACCTCGATACGCTGGTTGCCCCGAGCAGCTATGAACAGCGGCAATGTCGAGGCGGCTGAGTCGGCTCGGGACCAACGGAAGAAGCTTTTGGAGGAGCAACTACAGCAGAATACACAGAGGGATGAGGGTGGTAGTAGGCCTGAGGCTAGGGAGGGGACACTGAGGTCATCGTGGTAGATGCTGAGGACGATGCTACGAAGAGCATTGAGAAAGAGTTCAACATGGACGACTATGACGAGGAGGTCGAGACGGATCGATTTGCCAACCTATTCGTAGAGCTGGATCAGGTGGGGAATCTTTGGAATCTTCGCTGTGCGCAATGAGGATAATGCTTGGTAGGATGCTCGGTTGACTAAGGAGAAGGATCCTTACATGACCGGAGATGATGAAGTTGGTAGCGAGGCTGGATCTGATGGTCCCGACGACTACTACACTATCAAGGACAGTGACCTTATGTTCGTGGCTGCCAATGCTGAGGATGATGCTTGTAGCTTGGAGGTCTACTTGTATGACACCAAGGAGGGCGGGATGTAGTGCTGGGAGCCTACCAGCCAGTGCGTCAGGCCTCTTTGTGTAGGTATGTCCATCATGATCTACTGCTTACGTCGTACCCTCTATGCACTGCTTGGCTGCCCAAGGTGGCTGGGTCTGCTAAGGGCTCGGAGTCCTTTCTTGCTGTTGGTAGTACCACTCCTCTCTGAAGTTTGTTTATGCGGCACCATAGGGACCTTTGACCAATCTATCGATATATGGGATGTGTCTTTGATGGACTGCATGGAGCCCACAGCTACACTGGGGGTATGCAAGGCGGAGATGAAAGGGAAGAACAAGAAGCGACGGAATAAGAAGAAGGTCCGTATGGAGGGCTGTGAGTTGTAGCTGAGCAAGAGGGCTTGATGATTTCTGACAACATATTAGTGCGGTTGGTAGAGCGCCTGGCTGCTTAGAGGAAGGTTGCGTGTTCGATTCCCAGCACTATCACTGAGTCTATGTTAGAAGCCCTTACGCCCCTCTCAGAACGTTACTAAGAATGCCAACGGCATCTCCCCTCAAACCCACACCGGCCCGGTCATGTGCTTGGATGTGAGCCGAGTGGCCCCGACAGCCCTGGCCAGCGGTAGTGCTGATGAGACCGTTAAAGTCTGGGACCTCACTACGGCCCAAGCTGTGTGTAAGTTCATAGTTAACTCACCGCGGATGGTTGTCATCGTCAAGTCGCAATGGTCAGGCACCTTGGAGGAGGCCCATAATGGGAAGGTCCAGTGTGTATCTTGGAGCTTGGACCAGGATTCCATACTGGCATCTGCGGCCTATGATCGTACTGTAACTGTTAGTGACATCAGGGCTGGCAAGGCAGTGGTCAAGGCAGCCCTACCCAAAGGAAGTGGTGATCCTGAAGCGGTAAGCTTAGGGATACTCGATAGACTATGAAATACTGCTGGTGTACATGGTGTACAAATCGACTTTGTCATTCTGCACTGTTGCTGTTGTAGATGCTGTGGCTGCGGAGTAACCCAAGTGAGCTTCTACTGTCTACTGAGCTCGGCCATGTATTATGCTTTGACTCGAGGAAGGGATCCCTGGACAAGCCTATCTGGTCCATGCAAGCCCATGACGTTGCCTGTAGATCCTCTATAGCTGCATCGCTCCGCTCAATATTGTACCATTAGGTACTTCCATTGCCGATACGGCTGCTGCTGAGTGTGGCATGTTGCTCACTTGTGGAGTGGATGGTTATGCTAAGGTGTGGGATATGGGGACGGGAATCGCTGCTCCCAAGCTGGTAGGTCTCACTGTTGTTACTCATCTATCGTAATCATCTTGCTAGGTCTATCAACGCAACCTCGGGGTGGGTCCGCTCTTCCAGTGTCAGAGCTCTGATGATGATCCTAACTACTGTGTCTTTGCTGGACAGGCTCCTGTACTATGGGATGTCACTGATACTGGTAAGGCCAGAGACTACCACTTGGTGTGTCTGATAGTGGTCTTGTAGGGCTCATCTGTTCCGCCTTCCCGAATCTTCCGGGTGCGCAAGATGAAGATGCGGGCAAGAGCGAGGTTCGTCGTGCGGATCGTGATGAGGACGACGACGACGATGCGGCGGCTGCTGCAGCTGCGCCTCTTGAGGGGGAAGAAGACATTGATATGGAAGAGGAAGGATAAGCGTTGCTTGTCCCAGCATCTACGTATTTTACCACCCTGTTGCTCACGTCCATCGGCACCGGCCACGTTTCGCGCGCTATACTCTGGTCGTTTTGTTGCAGTCGTGCATCAGTGTAGTAGAGGTGGTAGTTTTTCATCTCCCTAGGGTGTATGGGGAGCCTCTTTTCTTCCTCACGGCATCGGTCGTCTAGTGAGGAGAGACAACGACGGCGAAAGCCGGTCCGGACTAACGATAATGATAGGGCAATATTGGACCTCAAGGTGCAGAGGGACCAACTGGACATGCACAAGAGAAAGCTGAGGGTGCAGGTAGTATGAGGCGGGGGTGTTCAGTATGTTAAGTCGCAGCTGGTGTGGTATGGAATATGTGTTGATGCGTCTATAGGTGGGTATGGATGAGCAAGCGGCTCGGCGATGCATACGAGAGAAGAATAAGCAAGTGGCTTTGCTTGCCTTGAGGAAGAAAAAGCATCATGAGCTACTCCTAGATGAAACTGAGGGGTATCTTGTCAAGGTATCTGCGCATGCGTGCAAATAGATATGAATGAGGTCCGAATTTGCAGGTGGCGGAGCTGATAGGCTCAGTCGAGATGGCTCGGGTCCAGGCTGATGTTGTATCCGCTTTGGCATCGGGCACGAAGGCTCTTAAAGATATCCAGAAGGAGATAGGAGGTAGGCCGTAGGTTTATGGAGTGGGAGGGATAGGAGCTCTATAGGTGTCGAGTATGTGGACCAGTTGCTTCAAGACAATGCTGAGGCCCAAGCGGAAATGGCCGAGATCAGCTCGGCTCTCACGAGTAGGTCCTTGGCCCTCTGTATTGCCTTGTAAAGTGGTGTTGCAGATGTTGGCGTACCGGAGGATGATGCGGAGTGCTTGGCGGAGTTGGAACGCATTAATCACGAGTTGGCTGTGGATGTCTCTAGCGGCCTGCCTACAGCTCCCAAGACTCCTCTGCCGGAGGTAATGTCGGGCTTAGTGTTGTCACCATGCCAGGGATGAGGGGCGCAGCTCGACCGTCTTCAGATCCCACCCGAACTACCACAAGTTACTGCACAAGAGGCTAAAGTGCCCTCCCCCCTTGCTCAGCCAGCGACTTGAGAGTAGTATCTACTCTAGTGCGTACTATCAGTAGTGGGTGTTGTGTTATCGATGTGGTCTACTACTTTCCGTCAGCTTGTTCGTGGGGTGGATAGCAGAAGTCCGTGTTGTTGTGCAGTTGAGAGCCATTACTACTCACTATGGGAGTTCCTACCTTCTTCCGTTGGCTTTGTACTCGCTACCCTAAGGTCATCAAAGATGCTGTTGAGAAGGTTTGCATTGAAGTCCCTGGAGAGGGCGGCGATGGCGCGAGTGAGTTATCCGGACTGTTACCGTTAATTGAAGTTTCACCCATTGTACGTGAAGTGGCGTGGAAAACTCGATATTCACGGTGATATGCAGTAGTCGTGAAATATATTTTTCACCAGTGTTTTTCATATCACCGGTGAAACTCCATTGATCGTATCTTTAGATACGTATGATGTTCCTGTTGACTTCGAAGAGCCCAATCCTAATGGGATTGAGTTCGATAATCTATATCTGGATTTGAACGGTAGGTCGGAGCTTGACCGAGGGCATCGTTATTATGGCATTTGGAAGGTATTATTCATCCTTGCTGTCACCCGGAAGATGGTATGACTCCTGAAAATGAGGATGTCATGTTTCTTAATATCATGCGATATGTGGATCGGTAGGTCGAGAGGTGAAAGATTCATAACAGGTCCGAATGTGGCACTTTAGGCTAGTGCGCATCGTTCGTCCACGTAAGTTGCTCTATGTCGCTATTGATGGTGTTGCTCCTCGAGCTAAGATGAACCAACAAAGGGCCAGAAGGTTCAAGGCTGCCCAGGAAGCTACGGAACAGGTATGCACGTTGGCGTTCTCGCTCTTGCTCTTACTCAAGTGTTATTTTGTACTTGCCTTGCATCAAGGCTTGTGCGTTAGATGAAAGGGAATAGTGGTGTCTCGTGCTCGATCTCATTGTGGTTAGCAGAAATAGTTGGACTTTTACTTTGATTCATCGATGTCACATTTTGATTCCTATCAGGGTTGTAGCTGTATTAATATTAATATGTTAGATGAAGGAAGAGGAGAAGCTCCGTCGGCAGATGGTGAAGGAAGGGCGAGAGCCACCTAGCAAGAAAGGAGTCCCATGGGACAGTAACGTCATCACTCCGGGCACTCCTTTCCTCGACAAGGTTGCTCACATGTTGCATTGGTAAGGTCACTCGATCATGCTCTGGTCCAAGCTGTTGGTAGGTACATCAGTGATAGGATGACCAACGACCCGTTATGGCAGCTGTTGGGCTTCCGGTGTATACTCAGTGATGCTGGCTCGCCGGGAGAAGGAGAGCATAAGATTATGGACTTCATAAGGAAGCAGAGGATGATGGTAGAGGAGGCAGGAGGTGACGGCGTTGTGGTATGAGTTTTGCTGTAGGAGGGGTACAATCCTAATACGACGCATATGCTGTATGGCGCCGATGCAGATTTGATAATGCTTGGCTTGGCGACACATGAGATATCTTTCTACATCATTCGAGAGGTAAGTGTGGTATCTTGAGGTTGATGATGTAAGATTCAAAGTAGGTCGTGTTGAAGCCCGAGGAAAGGAAGTGTTATCTGTGTGGTAAGGTTGGTCATTTGCCGTCAGAGTGTACGGGAGACGACCAACAACCCGACTTGGGGGATGAATCTGAGGAGGATGAGGACATGCTCGAGATGAAGCCTTTCCAAATCATAAGGTAAGGCCACTTCCTTGTTAGGGCCATGGGCATTGGCTTTCTCTGCTTGTGGTTAGTTTGCCTGTTCTACGAGAGTACCTTGTCGAGCAGTTCACGACTGCCTTCTGTCCACCCAATCAGAAGTGCATCTTGCCGTTCCCGTTCGATGTTGAAAGGGTCATAGATGACTTTGTCTTTATGTGAGTGGCCCTTGAGCGGACATGATCCGTATCTTTGTTGTGGAACCTTGATAGGTGCTTCTTCGTTGGTAATGATTTCCTACCGCATCTGCCCTCACTCAATATCCGTGATGGATCGATCGACCAGATGATATGCCTTTACGTGGAGATCCTCCCTACCCTTACTGACTACCTTACCTGTCAAGGGGAAGTCAATCTAGTGCAGGTAGTAAGCGGTTGATACCATCTTTCCGCCACTTCACACTTTATACTCCCCTCGCTAACGTCATCATTAGTGTTGTAGTAGCCTCCCTTAGGTAGAGGTCTTCTTGGACTACCTTGGTCGAGTGGAAGATGAGGTATTCCGTCGTAGACTTGCCCGTGATGACAGGTCAGTAGCGTTCACCTCAGCCACCCTGCTAGCGACGCTATGTCGACTAGGTTCAAACAACAGCGCCTTCAAGGGCGATTCATCAACCAGAAGGGCGGAGGAGCTAACTCTAGTCGCACGAAGTATCTATAGGGACCTTCCGTATTGTCATGATGACCTCCCCTTCCAGGCGCCCATTAGAAGACGCTAATGTACTGCAGGCGCGGAAGCTGCTGGCTGCTCTGGCGGACCCGGGTAGTGATACGGAGAAGGACAAACCTAAGAAGGTAGTAGACGTGCCGTCTTGTAGTGATGGGTGGTAGTGTATGCCTAGGTACCGACAGAGGCTACTGAGGCCCCTACAGGAAAGCAGGGAAGGTAATATTGACTTTGCTTATTGGGAAGGAGGGAGGGACTGTTGGTGGTAGACATCGAACGGTGCTGACCGAAGAGGACAATGCCTCACCCCCAGTGTTCCCTCCGAGTGAAGGGGAGAATTTGGATACAGCTGAGGTGGGCTTGAACGTATCTTGGGAGTTGTCGAAGGTGTGGTTGGGTTTAGGTTGTCGAGTTTCAAGAGACAGTTCGTCAACGTGTACGGGACAAACAGGACCTTGGGGAGAAGTATCCTGATAGGGTTCGTCTTGGAGAGGGTGGTGAGCATTCGTGGAAGCAGAGGTGAGTGGAAATGTCTTTTGGGTGGGATTGAACCTGCGTGGGTTTTTAATCGTCTTTAAGGCCATCACTACGCCATGTATTAGATATTATACGGATAAGTTCCATGTGACACAAGAGGACTTCGCCGATTTCATACCCCGAATAAGAAAGGCCTATGTGGAGGGTATTTGTTGGGTCCTCCAGTACTACTATCAGGTAAGGGTCTCTCTTTATGCTACCACGCAACCTTCTTTTCCTCAGGGAGTGGTCTCATGGGACTGGTTCTATCCCTACCATTACGCCCCTTTCGCCACCGATCTAGTAGGCTGCTCTGCGCTAGAATGCAATAAGGCTTCCTATTATACCAAAGGGAAGGTGAGAATCCTTTTTATTCTCCTGTGGTAAGTAGCTTCATCTCGTCAGCCCTTCCTACCCCTACAGCAGCTCATGTCGGTCCTCCCGCCGAGGTCCGGCCCTCCAGCGGACATTCCTGTCGAGATGCAGAAGTTGATGACGGAACCCAACTCTAGTGAGGCCCCCCTTGCCTCGCCTTATGTGTTATGATCTCCCTCAGGCATCATCGATTTCTACCCAGAGGACTTTGCCCTCGATCTCAACGGCAAGAAGTTTACTTGGCAAGCAGTCATCCTGCTGCCGTTCATCATCCAGGACCGCCTCATTGCGGCCTTGCAGCCCTTTATTGACAAGTTGGACGGCGAGAGGAAGCGTCGCAACACCCCAGCGGAGCCTAGGCTATTCGTCCACATGAACGATACCTTGGCTCCTCAGTTACAACGTGTGCATGATGGTGGAAAGGAGGCGGCCCTTGAGGATCTCCCCTATACCGACCCTAACGGCCATGGCTCGACCCTCTTTGGCGTCGCGAGGGCTTATCCGATGGGCGGAAAGCAGGAGTCGGTGCCTACTGTGTTGGTTCATGGCTTCCCTGTGAAGAACCCTCGTGTGGTGTCGTCGGTCCTACTGGACCCAGTGAAGCCTGATCCTGGGCGTCTACATCAGTCGAAGCTCCTGCCGGGAATCAGAGAGCCGACTCCTACGTTGACGGATGGGGATTTGAGCGAGACGGGCCGTTTGAGGGGCTTTGGAGGGGAGCCGGCCAAGAGGATGATCCTACAGTGCTTACAGAGGCTGGGCTTCCAGACGAGGCAGCAGCTCAGTTTTGGTAATGCATCTTTGAGTGGCCCCCCACCGGCTGCTGGCAAGGGCGGCAAAGGGTACGGGAAGGGGTATTGGAGTGGTGGCAAGGGAGGGTACTATCATAATGAGGGGAAGGGTTATGGGAAGGGATCGTATAGTGAAGGGAAAGGCAGTTGGGGAAGTGGTGGTGGCGGCTATAAGGGTGGACCGCCGCCTTCTGGGTATGGTAAAGGCTTTATGGCAGGGTTCCGATCTAGTGGGCCTCCCATGAAGGGAGGATATGGTGGGAAGGGATATGGCAGCTGGGGGAAGGGTTATGGCGGATATTAGACACTCCCACTGCGACAGTTGACTGTTCACTATACGTTAGTTACCATAATGGAATAGGTATTGCGCGTTGTGTTTGGTTGATGTGCGGGACACCCGGGTTCAAACCCGAGCTAGGGCTTTTCCTCGTATTTCTCTCCCCGTGTTGTTCTCAGTTGTGTCGTCGTCTGTGCAGTTCCATGCGACCTCCGAGTAAGAAAGGGAAGCATCTGTCCGGTATGGGCGGAAATGCGATCCCTCTGGGCCGCATGCGTACCTTCAACACCCCTACGCCGTCCCCTGACTCCGAACCAACCCCGAGGTCCGAGACTCCAAGACCGGCGGGGCCACCTCCTGTCGTGGGGGGCCGAGGCCGAGGCCTCACTATGCCTGCTTGGATGAAGAAGGCGCAACAGAGTGGTAGCGGGGAGTCCCCTGGTGGGCTCACTACTACTTCCAATAACGATTCGAGAGCCAGCATTGACAGTAGTAGCAGGAGAGGAGAAGAGGGTCATCGGAACGGGTCTAGAGGGTGGTCTAATGAGGAACCCTCACGAGGCTTCAGCGACTCTGCTACTCGAGGATGGGATGACGATTCGAGTCGTGGTGATCGACGTGGTGATAGGAGCCGAAGGGACCGGGATCATAGTCGGGACCATCGTCGTGACAGGGATAGAGACCGCAGCCACAGGAGAGATAGGCGGGCCAGCAGTGAGAGCAGGTCACGCAGTAGGAGTCGTCGGGGCAGGAGGGATGATAGAGGTGACCGTAGGAGTGGCTACCCTACCAGCAGTCAGCCGTCCTTCGACCCATCCTCTCGTAGAGGGGCAGTGTCTATTGCCACTACTGTCGCCCAGCCTATGGCTGCCACTACCCAACAGCCGATGGGAGGATACCCCCCTGCTGGACAGTATCATCAACAGCAGCAACAAGCGCCGGTACCGCCGTCTACAGCGACCGCCCCTACGTCCCTACCAATGCCGTCGCAGCAGGCACCGTCTGCAGGGAAAGGCAACACCACGACTGGCTTCCAGATGAAGTTGGGGGCCTCCCAGGGTCCCAAGAACTCCCTGGATCCTGCTGTCTACCGTCCGGCTGGCCAGGCATACAATTCGACGGGGGCTCCTGCTGTTCCTGCTGTCACCCAACCAGCAGCAGCAGGTGGTAGCGATGGGAGTGCCCCTCCTCAAAACGTGGACCCTCAGCAGTACTGGCAGATGTACCAATACTATCAACAGTATTATCAACAATACTATCAGTACATGCAGCAACAAGGCATGACCCCGCCCGGAGGGGCTCCTCCCCCAGGGAATGTCCACCCACCACCACCGTCGGGAGGTCCACAACAACAACAGTAGTAGTGAGGATCGTCGCGGTAGTAGTATGATATGATCGTAGCTGTAGTAAGTGAGCGAATGGCCACGACCAACTAGTACAGTTTTTCCCTATCTCTATCTGTCGTTGTTGCGTTGGAGTCGGCAGAACCCTCGTTTTTCAGTTACCAAAATCATGGGAAGCTGAAGTCGTATAGCGTCAGTCGACTGCCTTGGTAGCAGGGAACCATCCAGGAACACATAACGTTCCTGAGGAGGGAGGAACTGATTTTGGATTTTGCACATGGCTAGGAACACATTCTTCGGACAGTTTCCCATGTAAATGTCATCATCACATTGGCAACATGTTCCTCATTGTTATCAAACTCTGAGGGACGTCATCTCTCAAAGCTAGATGGGTCCATGCTTGGTAGTCTCCTGCTATGAACGCGGGGCTTGGTGAACCTTAGATGTGTCTCCTCCTAGTCGTCCTCTGAGGCCCCTAGTCTGCAATACGCCATCCAGCATATCTCAGATACGAATTCAGGCATGCCATCTGCAAGCATCAGCTCGCACTACGACGCGAGCTGCATTTAAAGGACCACAACGTACCAGTGTTGCCTATCGTCGGCCACAGCATTTACCTACTTGTATCTTGGATCCCCGGCTCGTGGAGTGATACCATCCCTCGGTCGCATCGCAACAAAAGGGGGGAGGGGGTAGAGAGCTGTTCATGCGCCCAAGACGATTGTCGTAATTCACTAATTCTCATTTCATCCACCTTCATCCACGAGTGAAGACTTGGTTAGGGCGGAGTCAATGGCCAGGATAGAGATCAGCTCCATGTTGTTATCACCAATGACAGCGGAGAGACATTCAGTCAAGTTCCACAGCACCTGGGCTAATGAGCCTCCCACTGAAGCGGAGAAGGCTAAGGTAGTGCATCCCACCGCTCCTGGCCTCAACGTGGGTTCAGGTGAAATCAGAGCGGGCCCTTATGCGAGCCGTCCTTGCTGGGAATAAGGTGGCAGTAGAGGCTGCTATTGAGGAACTACCACGGAACGGTGGCGATATCAATGCTGAGGGCTCAGGAGGTACTGGCAATAGGAACCTATACCGCGTCACTATTTGTCACCAGGATGTACAGCACTGCATGCGGCAGCCTCCTTGACTGACGAGGACTGCTCTCTCTACCTATGCGGTCGCCTGTTAGACCATGATGCCGATCTAGAGGCAGAAAACAGTCTCAGTAATAATCTCCAGCGGCCTCTGTTAATCGCGTCATTCGAGTGCGTGCAGACTTCACGCCTCTTATGACCGCTTGTCTCGCGGGCAACCCCAAAGTGGTCACTTTCTTCCTAAGTAAGGGCGCTAACATCAACGCCAGTAGCAGGAAAGGGAAGATGCCCTTAGCCATCGCCGAGGAAGCCGGTAAGAGAGATAGGGGCGACCTTACATCAGAGAGGGGTCTTCCTGTTTCAGGTCACCAAGCGGTCGTCGAAGCCCTACAGAGTGCTTTGTGATGCTACTATTTATATCTTCAGCAGAATCCATCATAAATTCAGTATCATCTCCACCCATCTCCATTGTGTAGTGTATTCTAGTGAGGTGTTGAATAGGGAGTTACTTGCTGGTCGAGCCCCTCTTTCTCTGACTACAGTAGCCTGATGGTTGCCGAGCTCGAGCGGTCATGTATCATCATCAACACTATGGTGGAGTCCTCACTCAGAGACTTCTTCCCACCAAACGTTGATGGAAGTTTCTATACCGACGATCTCCGAGTTGCGGAAACGTACTGAGGACCTCGAACGAAGACACAGGGAGGGTTTACTCAGATCTCGGTAGTCATCCTGTCGCTGGTCAAATATGGTTCGGAGCTCTTCCTTTTTCTTCAAGGCGGCCGCGATATCACTCCCCTCGGCGTGACGACAGAGTTCTAACCTTCCTGCCCATCAAGGAGGCCGTTGATCGAGAGGTTCCTAGTAGACAACGTTTGGAGGAAGAAATCGACCGTCTCACGTCCGACTGCCACAAGCTGCGGAGATACTTGAATATTCTGGCCCGAAGACGGGAGGATAACTCCTATGAAGTGGGTCCCGCTACCTGGCTCGTACGGATTTTGTTGGTCTCGGCTGAGATGGACTTCCTCAATCTCGACAGCTAGGCGGCTTCGGAAGACTCAGTAGAGGGTAGAGTGCGGCTCGTCCAAAGGCAGCTACTCCGTGAGGAACTCACACGGATGAAGAAGGCCCTCCAGGGGCATTTGGGGAGGGGTCACCGATGGGCCGATGAGGCAGACATGGCTCAGAGTAGGAGGGAAAATCGGTAGACTGGAATTCAGACGGTCAGGCAATTTGCATCTTCGTGCCATTGTCTTCGGTGGCCCTGCTACTCACTGCTAGATAGTTGGGCACTTCGTGGAGCTGTGATCCGTGCTGCCATGTCCGGTAGAGGCCTTCTAGCAGTCCTCCGGCTCTCGGCAGGTATAGTGCTCGAGCTTGACAGGCGCATTGAAAGCATCTCCAACGGGCCTCCCGGTATTGTGAGTGAGATCGATCGAAGGACGCTCCTCGTGGAGAGAGATGCCCAGGTGTGGCCTTCTACAACTAACACATATCCTTTGCTGTGGCAGTCAGGTAGCTGCGGCCGCAACTGCCGAGGAGCACATGTTGGCAGCTGCGCTGGTATGCCGTGAGCTGCAGGTGCGAGTAGCGGTGAGTGGCGTAGTATGCGCTGTCTCCATCGACCTTCACTAGAAGGTACTCAAGCATTGGCTCGCCAGCAGTAAGCCTTCACCTAAGTCATCCCGCACGGGCTTGAAGCTGGACGTGGATGAGGAGCTGGTAGTCGAGTTACTGAAGGTATGAGCCCTCCAAGCCATACCACACCTCCGTGAAGGTTGCCAGCAGGTACGGTCCAAGGAGCTGGGGACAGCGAGGGCAAACTTACTCAGACTAGACCCTACCGGCATCCTCAGTGGGTGCTCGGAGCGAGTAAGCGATCCAATGTGACAGCCACAGAATCGTCGCGTAGCATCACGACCTGTCCATGTCGGGAAGACGCATGTACTCAAACAGTCTCATTGCCTCTCGCTGCATCTAGCGTTGTACAAACTGATGCCAATGAGGGTTCGATGCGCCAAACTTCATCGCGGTTGGGGAAGAGTGAGTGATCATTGTGAACGAAATTCACATATTGGGCTGTTGTGAGACGATAGCTACTCATGTGGCATGTCTATATTTACATATCGGATTTTATACTTTTCTGCCTTCATTTGCATGCTTTATATCCTCCTTTACATGGCGTATCTGGTCATGCCGATGAAATTAGTCTTCTTATCGTAGGCGGCTGTGAAATTATTCGTACTTGAGCATATTTTGGGGTTGTGGCATAGCCGCCCCGTCTGGAGAAATTGATTGTATTGGAGCATATCTTGAGGTTGTGGCATAGTCGCCCCCTCTGGAGAAATTGATTGTATTGGAGCATATCTTGAGGTTGTGGCATAGCCGTCCCCTCTGGAGAAATTGATTGTATTGGAGCATATCTTGAGGTTGTGGCATAGCTGCCCCCTCTGGAGAAATTGATTGTATTGGAGCATATCTTGAGGTTGTGGCATAGCCGCCCCCTCTGGAGAAATTGATTGTATTGGAGCATATCTTGAGGTTGTGGCATAGCCGTCCCCTCTGGAGAAATTGATTGTATTGGAGCATATCTTGGGGTCGTGGCATAGCCGCCCCGCTCTCCAGCATTGATCTATATTCGTTTTGAGCTTCCCTTCTGCATCATGCCTACTACTGTCGGGTCAGTGCGTAGTAGTAACATCGGGGCAGCGGCGGCGAGTGGGGAGTTCCTCAGTCTACTCGGCATTAGATCCCCAACTCTTCTCGATGATGCCCATCGCCCATTTGGAGGGAGGCTAGTCTGGTCACGTAACGATGACCGTCACTATCATGGGGTTGACTTGGTCATTGGTCGGGATGGGTTCGCTGTTCGAGAGATACCTGTCGGGCACCAGGCGCCGTTGGAGATACGGAGGTCTCTGCGCGGCTATGTCACCACGAAGCAGCTCGGCGCCGCGCTACTCAGCTCTCCTTTTGTACAGCTAACTGTGCAGAAGTACCTTGTGGAAACTCAAAGTGTTGTTCAATTGTTGGCCCATCACGCCGAATGCGCTCCCGAAGACATATCCTACGCCGGCCGGAAGGATGAACACGCTGATACCACTCAGCTAATCACAATGCCACAGGAGGCTTTCCTGAGGTTTTTCCGCAAACATCGTCAACTCCGGCTACCCTTCCGGATCGGGGACCCTTTAGGAGTCGAGAGAGCACTCAAGTTGAGTGATCTTAGCGGCAACCACTTTCGCCTGGTGTTCACCGGCGATTCCCGAGTTATAGAGAGTGAGGCACACGATGCGGCTTTAGCTCGAATCGCCGAAGGAGGTTTTGTCAACTACTTCGGCCCTCAAAGGTTCGGATCGCCAAGGTACATGACTCCTGTAGTAGGTTGGCATTTGAATACGGGTAGGGTGGAAGAAGCAGTGATGGCTCTCCTGGCGAGCCAGGGGGAACCCTCCCGGAACGACGTTTCGAAGAAGATTCTCGGAAAGAACTTCAAATCGCTTCAAAGGAATCTCCCTGAGGATGTTTCCTCGAGGGATGATCACCACTTGATCGAAGCGATTGTGAAATACCCGAAGAGACTGTGGCGGACTAAAATACCAGCGTCACTATGGAGCACTTACAATAACGCTTTCGAATCTCTGCTGTGGAATTACGTTGTGAGTGCGAGGATTGAGCGCTATGGCATGAAAGGTGTCGCTGGTGATCTATGGTCAGATGAGAGTGGGAAAGTCGCTATTCGCTCGTCAACATCGTCAGATGTCCCAGATCTCAGTAAGGTGGTCCTACCAGTGCCCTCCAGATTTGGTATCCGTCCTGACAATTTGATAGGGGATTTTATATTAACTTCGACAGTGAGGTTGGGAGTGAAGGAGGACGCTCTCAGACACCATGGTCGTTTTCGGTCACTCCTGGTTAGACCACAGAATTTGACATGGGAGCGGCGACAAGGAAGATTGTCGGTTGCATTCATCCTTCCGCCCGGGTGCTTCGCGACTTCGCTCGTACGAGAGTGGCTTGGAATGAACTTCTTCCAACCAGGAGGCCAAGCATTAGGCTGGCTTCCTGATGCATGTTTCAGAAGACTTGATGAAATTAAAAGAATCCTATGAAAAGATTGTTTCTGAAGTCACATCGTTGTGTCTCTTAGTCACCAGGGTATGGTTGATCGCATTCTGTGAGCCAGTGTATTGACTGACAAGTTGTCAGTCAATACACGGAGTATTATAAGAGTAAGTGTTCTCAGCGTACCCTCTTCCAAGTCAGACACCATAATCTAGACCGGGGTTCTCAAGTTGGTAGGCTACTGGATCCATGCCCAATTGTGGGTGTCCGGAAGACTATGTATAGTATCACTGCACACAACTCACTTTGGGCGACTGTTCCATGTGAATGACTATGTAGAATGGAGCCTCACATGATGTGGAGGGATTGAATGAAGGCGACAAGAGGCCTCGTAGGAAGCAGAGGAAGGGGGCGGATGGTTTCGGACTATGCCATGGTTTCCAGCCATTCACGTGGCCATCTCTGTCACTCAGCGACTCACTCTACCACCCGACCCATAATTCTGCACATCAATTCCGCGTTCGCAGATTCATTTGCTACGCGAGCAGAGATCAGGGGCGGCCAACAGTCGATAACTCATTTCGGAGTTGACAGTGCGAGTTGTGGCAGCTCATCTGCTTAGTGAAACTCCAAGATACAAATGTTGGATAGGCTTGCGAAGGTGGTTTTGAATTCCGAAACCACCTTTGCAAGCGCCTCTCATATTAACACTCATGATTAGAACAAACCGTCTCGACAATTTCAGCACCTATAACGTAATCCACGATGAGATTATAGCTGTGAATGCCACGGGTTTCATGAACCTAAGCCTGGTGAGATGCTAATCAGAAACCAACTTTGTTGTTAGTGGTCATATCAGAGTAAAGTAGTCAACTTCAAATGGGAGCAAATCGATTATTATTGCTTTCCATCGTCATGCCACTCCTTGCGGCTTCCACTGCTTTATCGCGAGCGTTAAAGGAACGAAGATGAGTTCGTGGCAGAGGTACACTGCCAACGACTGAAAATACGCAGCCTCTCCATTGATACAGTAGTCGTGACGCTCACCCAACGGCCCAGGGTACAGAATACAGACTCTTCGAACGGAACTCGGGTTCGGAAAGGAAATAAGCGCAGGGAGCTGATAGTGTGGACGCCTCGATCATGCAGCCATACTCCGAGCACGCAGAAGCCAAGATTGTGGAACCTGAACTTGGTGCCCGAGAGTATACGGCGGGCCTCAGTCTTACCAGGGCATAACGTCGAGCGATGGTCGATCCATATCTACCTCCAGCGGGAAGACACCGAAACACATCGTATACATTTGGATGAATAAGAAGGCGGGGAAGGCTAGTTGTGGATACTAAAGAGGAACTACCCACAGCGGTTGAACGGAGTGATGGCCATCACCTTCACAAACGGGAGACAGAGCAGACTATTGAGGCATATGCAATGCAGTGCTCCGAATACAATAGGAGCATCAGGGAATCGATAGAATCTACACAGCAACAGCAATTATGCTAAAGTCTTCCTTTGAGCTCCCACGTGTAGGCACTGAGCATAGCAGCGAACATGGCCAGCTTGATGGTTCGGTGGATGACAGATCTCCATTTGATAACCCGGCCTCTGTTGGCCAAGGCTTGGGAGAGACCGACGCACATCTGTAGCATCGCCACTCCAGCGACTTGACTCTCTCGCCACCACACACAGATGCAATACACAGTACAAGGGGTGAACCTGACAGTGCCGTAGCCGCGAAAGGTAAGTCAGTGTTACTTACAGAAGGTAGTGAAGATAAGGCGAGACGAACCTTCCCAAATGACAAACAGTCTGGAATATCGAAAAATAAACTGTGAACGTGAAATAGTTCCATTTAGGACAGGGGTCGGAATAATTAGCCCCGCGAAAACCGCTGGGGATCAGACCGTTTATACGAAAGTTTCCGACCATGTGATACATAACGACGAAGCTGATACACATCCCCCGCCAATAGTCCACTGCTGGGTATCGAGAGGGACGCGTCTTTGCCTCGTCCGAAGCAGTGGCAGAATTCTCAGCCTCATCGAAATGGGCCACGGCTTCGCCACTCTAACACAAGAGCGATTCCGAGTCGAACCCAACAGACCTCTGGGCCTACTTCCATCATCGCCCTTTTGTGAGAGACTCTCTGCTGGTTTGTGAGTTTGTGGAGAAGGCAGAAGAGGAAGGTCGTTATGAGGATGATCCAGATAGTCAGGGCAGGGCCAGAGGTTAATACCACCGACCAAGGGGCTGTCGAAAGGTCACATAGCACTAAGAAGCTCTCTCGCAACATCCGGAGCGAGATTAAAACAACTGTCATCGCTGGATCGTAACGCATATACAACATTCCTTTACTTACTACGATGGTACACTAAAACTCAACATTCAAAGATGTTAATGAAAGGAGTGGGAATAGTTTCTGTACGCGGATGATGACGATCATCGCCGCTGTTGCCCTTCGGCCTACTGTTAGTTCACCTACATCTGCTCATGCTGCAAACGTTGTTGACACAGCTTTTTGGCGCATTCACCGGCCACTAGCCAGTGGCCAGTGAGGGGAAAATCCAGTTATGGAGGACCTTAAGAGGTGTGGTCCTCAAAATAATACTGTGAGACTCGTGCAACCCCACGCACTGACCCCCCACCCCCCTAGAGGCTAGGCCCAAATGGATCCCCCTCTACCGAGAGCCAATACTAAGGACGTCCTTCTACAGCGATTGAGCAACACGTCAAGATGCCGCAACGAGCCTCCAGTGTAAGGAGCGGGTTCCAAACCATGAAGGGCCGGAGCAAGACACGTCTTATGACACGATGTATGATAGTCTCCTCGGAGGATCGTTGCATTGATAAATGATGATTAATCAGACTTTAGAAAGATAATGAGGCTGCTCAGTTTCTCGAGAGCTGCCGGAGATCTATGTCTATAAGATGCCACAAGATCTCTTCCTTCTGAAAAGAGACTACTTAATGGACAAATCGGCCCACTTCCTCGACATCAAAATCAACTACACGCATTCCCTAGATTTGCATCACCCAATCCCTGAGATAAGAATCTCATCTCAGGTATTGGGTGAACCACCCACCATGGGTAGCCTAGCCACCGTGGCATCAGATGTCAGTCTGTGCGTCTCTATGATATTTCGCTTTAGATAATGACATTTCCGTGCCAAACCTAGTCAGGGCCGTAGAGAGCTGATCCAGGCTATCTGCGAAGTTCAGAACATTGATTATCAGATCTTGTGCCGATAAAACTATGTCATCTGCGAACAGGAGGCATCAGAGGGCGACGTCTTCAGCATTGCCACCGCTTTCGCATGGAATACTCAATCCAACATCCAAATTGGCATCTCTGATCACCATGTCCATGAAGATAATGAATAGAAGAAGTGCTATACGGCATCTCTGTCTAGTTCCAATCTCTATATGAAAAAGATCAAGTGAGCCTTCCCATGTCTGCACTTGAGCATGAGTACCGCGAGGGAGTGATTAAATGGCTGATATCAGCTCCTCATCACACCCAACAAGTCTGAGAGCTCTCCGCATAGCAGAACGTAGTACTTTGTCGAAGGTTGCTTTCAAATCTAGGAAGCCAGCAGAGAGCCTGCCAAGACGATGCAATAGCTGCCCAGAGGCTTGGCCCATTGAACCGTCGACACAGTGCACATTCACAATGAATTCAGTCGTACCATTACCTGTTCGGAACAGATTGTTCTCCGAACATCGGCAAAGACGGGAGAGTGTTGGTTCAATGAATCTTCTCGCAGCTTGGAGTGTCATCAGCCATCTCAAGGAGAGAGCTACTACCAGCACTGGCATGACTACTGCGCAACTACTGCAATAACAGGAGACTATCTTTGTCGACGATGAACCCGGATGCCCTGCGTTGCAAGCTTTACGAGAGTATCTCCTGCCCGAACTGACCAACACCACACATGCCAGCTCGTTCAAGAAGAGGTAAGCTGTTCCACGAAGAATGTAAGAAGGATACGGCTACGATTCTCGGAGGATAGACAGTCCAACTACAACAAGGACAGGTATCATGTGGGCCAGATAGACCATTAGAGCCTGAGGAGAGAGCGGCGTACATCACGCGTTAACCACCTCAGGATCAAGTGAAACTAATGAGCCTTACATGTCGGCCGATAAATGTGAAGACTGTATCCTCGAGATGCATGGGTTTGCCTGGTATCAATTCGATAGCCGTTATCTTATGAATGCCCACGCTGTGAAGCCAGACGCCGAGCAAGCAGTATCCAAGGTTGTGGAACCTACGCCGGGAGCACCATTCCCCTCGAACACACCGTAGTGCTCAATTAAGCCGTAAAGTCGGTTTGTGAATACACTGACGTAGCTATGAGGAGAGGGAACCGTCCAACTTGATGGATGGAATAGCACACCGTCATCCCAAGGACATCTACAGCGTCGTTGCTTGATGTCAACGCTCCGCTGTACTAAAACACTTTTTATGTCAATACATAGCGAGCTGTGCCGATACAGAGTAGTTGCGATCCTCTTACTATACTATGGGCTGCTGTACCCAACACAGACGTTCAATGTACTTACCACGGAGTCGTATCGGCTGAGGGACGGTCACTGGGAACTTCCAGGGGGAACACATTTCCTGCCATAGTGTAAATCTGGATGCAGATGAAGCCGATAAGGGCGATACGAGGGGTCTGAGTATCGAGCGGTGA